GTTTCTGGCTCTGAAATACAGCTTTGATATTAAATTACAGGTGTTGAACTACATATGGGTTCCTTTTGGAGAAGGGCTTGGTCTTTTTTGAATATTGAATTCATTGGTATCTGTTTGATGCTTAACAAAGGTTTGTTGGGATAAATTATAAATGAAAAAATGATACTTTATATATAAAGTCTTGTGGGATTATTAAAACAGTTTTTTATCTTTTCAGCAAACCATTCCTCAAGCATCAGCTGTAAAATACTCACGGACCATTCATCCTGAAGGTGGTACCTCAGTTTCAAGATCTCTTGGAACCAGAACAACCCACACCCAGTCTCTCACAAGCATTCAGTCCATAAAAGTGGTTGACTAAAGTGAATATGTTCACAGCAAGGTCCTTTAATTCCTCTGGTAAAGACTGTACCAAGAGTTGGAAGTCTTTAGTTTTTAACTTTTCTGAATTGCTAGAACATCATGGATACATCATGTTCATCTTTTCAAAATTATAAAGAGACTTTTTCAAGATATACCATCCTTTGTAACTATACTGTAGAAAGTATTTTAATGTTATTTTATTTAAGCAATTAAGTAAAACTTTTTTAAATTAAAAAAGAAACTTCATTTTTTAATATGTTCAGCCTGTCACTGGTTACATCATCATTTCATCATTTTTTTTCTCTATATCATTTATAAAACAAATAATTTCCARTGTTACTTAACTGTAATTTATATAAAACTTTGAGAGGGAACTTTACTGAAAACAATAAAACTAACAAAAACTAAGTTATTTTTACTTTTAAATTAAAAAGATTAAGACCAAGATTAATAATGGTGGTGTGACCCTGCTAGACATGGGCARAAATTCTTCAGTGGTTGACCAACTTGAAGAAAACATCTGGGCAGAACTGATTTAAGAGAAAAAGACCTGGCTTCTCAATGGCTTTATTACTGGCTGTGTTATCTTGGGCTTGACACTTAATTTAAGTGAATCTCAGGATCCTCCTCTACCTACCCTACTTATTTCATTTCACACTTATATAGAGTACATAAAAATGGTTCTGAAGAAGCTGTCAAAAGCCCCAATTTATGTATCTTTAACAGAAATGGATGGCTTAATAATCTGAAACCTCTTCTATTTTTGAACATGATCTAGTTATATTCTGTAACTTTATTATAGGAAATAGTTGCTGCCTCMCACTCTTAAGAGGACATCAGAAACAAAACTGTTATAGGCAAACAGTTCCTATTTTCTAATGGAACACCGTAAKGCTTTTCTGAATTACAAGTATCAGGCTGTTTCTTAATATCTATTAGATATTTAAGCAACACTTGTTCTGGGTTCTGGCCTAGCTCTCACTGCAAACAACTTTGCTCAGCATGGGCTTCAGCAGGCTATGTGAGCACAAAGCAGCAGCCCYTTATCTCGCACCCTTTGTTTTTTTAATWATTATTTTTATTTGTTSTACTTAGTTGTACATGACAGCAGAATGCATTTCAATTTATYATACACAAATGGAGTGCAACATTTCAATTCTCTGGTTATACACGATATAGAGATGYACCRTTTGTACAATCAGATATGTACCTAGGGTRATGATCGCACCCTTTTTGTGGACATGTCTTCCCCAGGGCTTCTCTGTTAACTCCCCAGATATCCGGGAGAGATAGAAGTTTCCTCTTATGCCATTCCTATGACCCACAAATCAAGTCTTCTTCTTTCCTCCTTGTATGAATTGTCCTAAGATGCACTAGTCCATTCCTTCTCTTGGAATAGAGTAACCTCAAGATCAAATAATTTGTGAAGCTTGATACCAAGTAGTAACCAATTTAGTAACACCTATCTTGACTCTCCTCCTTCCCCAGATCTTTTCCTCCACTCCTGYACCCCTAGATTGACACTCCTGTAAAAAGATGTTACACATAAACCTTGATCTTAAGCCCTACCTTCTGAGGAATTTAGACTGCAGCTAGGATGCTTTTCAGTATCCAATCCAAAGCCATAGGGACAAACTAAAGAAAATATTGATGAGTGTTATACTTAAGAATAATGGACAAAACCCAAAGACAGCATCATAGTGAATAAGGAAAAACTGAAAGTATTTCCTTTAAAATCCAGAACAAGACAAGGATGTCTGCTCTCACCACTGCTATTCAATATATTACTAGAAATTCTAGCCAGAGAAATTAGGCAAGAGAAGGAAATTAAAATGATAAAAATAGGAARTGAAGAAGTTAAATTATGATTGTTTGCAAATGATATGATCCTACATTTATAAGATCAAAAAACTGCTAGAGCTAATAAATTTCACAAAGTAGCAAGTTTAAAAATTGACATACAAAATTCAATAGCTTTGCCATACACCCAAAATGAATCTGCTGAAAAAGAAATTAGGAAAACAATCCAATTCACAACAGCTTTTTTTTAAAAAAATGAAATMATTGAAGACCTCAGAAGATGAAAAGACTTCCCATATTCATGGGTAGGCAGGATTAATATTGTTAAAATGGTCACAAAAGGACTGTATAGAGTCAATGCAATATGTTCTTCACAGAACTAGGGGGAAGAAAGTCCTAAAATTCATTTGGAAAAAGAAAAATAAAAGACCCAGAATAGCTAAAGCAATTCTAAGCAAAAAAAAAAAAAAAAAAAAACCTGACTTTATACTAAAGAGCTATAGTACCATAGCACTGGCATTAAAACCAGACACACAGACCTATGATACAGAATAGAAGACACAGACACATCACAGATAATGGTCATCTGATCGTAAGCCAAGATTCCAAAATCACTGGGGAAAAGACAGCCTTTTTCACAAATGGTGCTGGGAAAACTGGTTATCCATATGTAGAAAAATGAGACATACTTCCCCATCCAAGGTAGAGTTATCTGTTCTTGAATGAAGTAATTCAGACTTGAGGATGGCACCAGAAGCTCTCAGAAATGACTATGTCCCAAATTAATGAGGGAATTAAAGTTCTAGACAGAGAATACTTCCAATATAGCCTTTGAATCACCTCTTTAAAATCATGGCCTCTGGGACAGGAATCCCTTGTGATTCTCCTTTGCTAGGAAAGAAATAAAACTTCTTTTTTCTCAAAATTAAAAAAAAAAGAAGGAAAGAAAAGCAAAAGAAGGTCAGGGGCATATGTTTTCTCTCGTTTGGAAGCTTGAGAGGAAAAAGGAAAATAAAATTATGGGGTGGGGCATCTCATGAAAATTGCAGGAAGATCAGTAGAGTAGAAGAACGGAATGCAAGGTGAAGGGAGCACCAGGGAGGAAATAGTGGGGAATGATATGAGCCAAATTATATTGTTATATTGTGGACAGGTACAAATATGTACAATATACCCCACCATTATGTACAACTATAATGAACCAATAAAAAATATGGAAAAAAAAGAATTGTAACTATCTGTTTAAATTTATCTAAACTCTAGAAGTTTTTRTATGTTATCTAAAGCACCAAGCAATTAATTTTGGCCTAAGTAAACAAATTCAACAATAAAGCTTTTTTTACAATAAGAATATATATTTGCTTATTTTTACTGAAACAGGTTACTCAAGTTTGTGGGGAGGAATGGTAGTGAGGTCAGTGGAAGCTGGTCATAGTTTAAAAAACGGAGACAAGACTTTCACTCAATACCTTTAAAAAAATTTTTTTGAGATCATGTAAATATATTACCAGTTTTGAACAWTTACAGCATTAAGTGAACCATCTACAATCAGAATGAGACAAAGATGTAAAAAAATATATAAATTCATGATAGAATAATCATATGCAATCATTCATGATTTATTACCTATCTTGTAGATTTAGAGTCAGAACTTGAGAATGGAGGACCTTAAATGATAATGAGTAGGGGAACATAAACTGGTACAAACTGATAACCTGATTTCACATTTATTTCATAACTTTCTTAGACTACAAAAAAAATAATGTGTGTTCATTGTGGAAATAAAATGGAATATACCAAAAATACAAAGGAAATAAAAATCACTTGCARTTACATCATCAAGAAATGAAAAACTATATTTGTGTATATATTTCTGGTCTTTTCTAAGAAATCTATTACATGTATGTGTGATTTAATGCCACCAGTRACAACATTTCCAAACCCTTACTGAAGAGAAGTAACAGTTCATGATTTCTATGCAATGGTCAGATGGTCCAGCATTTCACAGGATTCTGCCTTCTTCTCCCCAACCCTATGGAATAAGACATTTCCCACTTYATAGAAAAGAAAAGTGAAGATCTGAGAACTTAAATAATATTAACATGTCCAAGGCTCACAGCTAATAAGTGGCAAAACCCATTTCAAAACTATCTCTATTCTAAAACCTTTGGTTTTTCCATATGTCACCATGCTGCTCTCACTATCAGACTTTTTAAAACATGAGGTACAAAAATACTCTTCTAGATCATGCCATTACAGGTGTTGAATCAAATGACAAAAGTGGGAAAGACACAACTTGCTTTAAGCAAAAGCCAAAAAGAATAAGTAACCTCTCCATGGTACGAAAGTCTAACAGTATTACTCTTTTCCCATTTGCTAGCAGGTCCTGTCACCACCATCTTCATAGTTAAGAGGAAAATCAAACTGCTGGAAGAAATAAGAAACTGCATTTAAAAGAACCAAATGCCGAGGGAGAAGTCCCTTTAAAAAAATTTCTTTAGGCTTTTATGAAACTGTACACTTCTTGGAGCTTGAGTCAGTTTTGCTTTTGAATTGACGAATCTTTTCTGGAAAACATAGGGTAACATTAATGATTAATAGCTAACATTTTGTAAGCACTTATAGTAGACCAAYCATGATTACTCATTTAATCCCACAACAGCCCTCTGAAGTGGATGTTTTTATTTCCCTCCCTAGTTAATCAATGGGAACRCTGGCACAGTGAGGTCATAGAACTTGATCAAGGTTATATAGTATGTGTTGGAGTGCMGGGGTGAACCCATGCAGTCTTGCTTCAGAGCACAGACCCTTCACCACTTCCATGGTCTTCCCTGAAAGTTCTTATGAACACTTTCATAGGAAAGATTAAATTTAAAGTCCAGGGGGAACCCTAATGTTATGAGGGAAATGTCCTGGAAGGTAGGTATCAATCATCCACACACTCCTCCTGTAACCTTACACTCCTGGAAACAATACTGAGTGGGTGCTCTGATTCACTCATCTATGTTCTCAGCTCCGGGTGAAACTGTTTCAATGAAAACAAGGGCAGACRCCCCTGTACTTTGCTTCAATGGTTGCTATTACATGAGAGTTATAACATTACCTAATTTATTAAGTTTTCAAAATATCTTCCCTGACAGTATGATCAGTGATGCTGCAGAGTGATTTTTTTAGCAATATCCCAAGCAGGCATAGTAATAACCTGTCTGTTCTTTTTTCTCTAGAGATAACATTTTCAAATACAATAACTGGCAGAGCTTCCCAATAGGAGCAAAATGGCACGTTGAGAAAGACAACTCTTAGATGAGGAGAACCATTCTATGAAGATAGGAGATTGTTTAGCATTTCTGGCCCATTCCTCCTACACACACACACACACACATACACACACACACACACACACACACACACACACACACCACACACAAATTAAAAAAACTTCCATACTTTTCCAAATGCCCAGCATAGGGCTGGCACTGAGTATCATGTGGCTAAAATGTGAAGAAGATTGACTGGGTGCCTCACAGAAGCAGAAGTCCCTCCCTCAGCTCCATATTTTGGGTGAGCCACAACTGACACCAGCTGAGACTGCTGCTCTTCAGGGTGGGATTTCTGTTCACTGTCCCCTGTCATTGAAGGGTGGAGTTTCTGCTCATGAAAAACTATAACTCACCAGCTAGTTCTGGGAAACCGGCACGTACCAGCTCTTCATACAGGTGCTTGGCAGGATCGAGCTGTGTCATCAGGACCCCATGCAACCAGATGAGCAGAGCCCTGTGGCCATGCTCACGGAAGCTTTCGTTTCCTGCACCGAGCACAAGATGTTCAAGGTGACACATCACCAACTGATGTGTCATTCAAATGTGATCTCAGTTCTAACTAAATGTTCTGTGGTCACACATCCATTCCTTTTCTGAGAGCTGCCAGTTCAAAAGCCCAGTGATGGGAGGAAGCCTGTCTAGTTCCCCTCARTAGTGTGTATTATGACCAGTGTTCCCATCCACTTCAGCCCTGGCCAGGCAACTGCTGTGCTGGCACATACACAAAGGATTGAACAGCTATAGTGCCTGCCTGGCGGCAAAGTCAATCTTAATGAAATGTGGAGCTTTGAGGTAGTGCGTCTCAGACTTCAAGTGCATACTGCACTGGGGCATCTTGTTAAAATGCAGATTCTAATCCAGTATGTCTGGGCTGAGAATCTGCATGTCTGACAAGCTCCCAGATGTTGCTGCTGCTGTTGCTGCTGGTGATCTATAAATCGCTCTCCAAGCAGCATGTACCATACCACCACTCCAATTTCAAGAACACGGCCCTGATACGAGTCTGCAACTTCCTGGGTCAGGATTATTCACTTGGTAAATACTCCCTGAATAATTAACCCCTGAAAGATGCTGGGATGTTGAGATGCTAGATGAGATGTAATGCAGAAACCTCTGTCACTCTCAACAAGAATTCATAGTCGCAGACACATAACAGGCTCCCTTGCAGAAGCAGACAGATTTCACAAAAGGGAGGGCCTGAGCTGTAGGAGTGAGGAGAAAGTTCACTGTTCACAGTAGAGGGGCAGGCATTTGGGGAAGAGGAAACTGCATGCATGAAGAATATGCTCCTGGGAAGGCAAACACTCTATTCCTTTCTTAGTCTTGTTCTTGACAAACTTTTCTTCAGTGCCATTTGATATGTCACTCTCTGCCTCAAAGGTTCACAAACTCCCCAGTCAATGCCAGTAGCCTTAGCGTGAATTACCATATGTAACTATTGTAAATGTTAATGTTGTTGAGTCAACAAGATTATAAACTCTATCCCAYATGCACATGGCTTAGTATTCCTTGCTTGGTGGAGACATATACATTTCAGGTACTCCATAAAGATTTTGTTTTCTGTTTTTCAGTCCTGAGGTTTGATTCCAAGGGCCTCACACATGCTAGGCAAGTGCTMTACCACTAAGTTATACCCCCAGCCTTTCCATAAAGATCTGTCTTAAACACTTTAAAAATCCCCTTTATTCTACAGGCAAGTGCTTTTTTAAAAAAATGTTTATCTTGTTTGTTTATTTTTATGTGGTGCTGAGGATTGAACTCAATTCCTCACATGTGTGAGGCAAGTACTCTGCCACTGAGCCACAACCCCAGCCCAGACAAGTATCTTTTTTTAAAAAAAACTGGGAATTTAACCCAGAGGTACTTTACCACTGAGCCACATCCCCAATCCTTCTTATTTTTTATTATTTTGAGACAGGTATCACTAATTTACTTAGAGCCTCACTAAATTGTTGAGACTGATCTCAAACTTGTGATCCTCCTGCCTCAGCCTCCCAAGCCACTATGATTACAAATGTGTACTACCACATTCAGCTCAGGCAAGAATTCTTAATATACACCATGTTTTCAAGTCATTTAAGTTAGAGAGATTTTCAAATTCAGCTCAAATATCTCACAGCTGTCATAGAACATTATCTGCCTAGTTAGCCAAAATATTAACACAGTGACAAAAAGAAATCTTTTCAGAAACAAGTCAATATTCCATGTTTCTAATACATTATATTCCACTTGTTCATATGAAAATATATGCTTAGAATCAGCGATAAAGAGGTGCATAATTTGCTTGTATGTAGTATAAGTAGACTACACTCATGGAGCTGGGGTTCTACCATTTAATTCTCAGGAATAACTAAGGCAAATCAACCTCTGAACGAGGGCACCTTCCCACCTCAGAATATCCTTGTAAGGGGAATACTCTGAATAGGAAGCTTTGCAAGAAAAAAAAAAAGTAACAAAGTTGAAAAATGCAAAGCAAATTGTTCTGTATTTCCCAGGTTTGGGTCAAGTCATAAAAAAGCAAAGCTAAGGAATCCAGCTGAGCTAACCTCACTAATCCTGACAGCTTAAGTCTGACTGAAATGATTTCATTGCTTGGAATCATCCAACCAATGGAACCCTGTGTCTGTCATGGGATAGCCACATCTTCCCCAAGGCCATGTCCTCTTTCCCCTTGACCTGGTTGAAGGGATTCCCTCGTAGAGTAGAAGTCCTAAACAGTGAGCCATTCAACTCATTCACCCCAGTACAATCTGAAGGGACACCAGAAATTAGACTGGCTTCCCAATGGCATACCACCTGTTAGACCCTTGCTTCCTTTGTGTCTATTCAGTTGGGAACATTAATTTCTTTATAGGCTAATGACCACCTTTTCAATATGGCTCAACTAAACTAGTTATCTTTTGAAAATTTCAGTTTACTGCCGATTCCCAAGTGTTAGCTTTCTGCAAAGTTTCCAGTCACTTCCATGGACCTAAGTTATCTGTTACTCCCCAGGAGCCCCTGGACTCTGCTCTTCCAGGCACTTACTTGGAAGATCCAACAGCAGGAAGGACTGCTGCTCCTAACGCTGCATGTCTCCTGCCCACGTCATCTAGTGCACACTCACCTGACCACTGTTCCTCTATGGCTCTGATCTGGTCATCTGTAAAGTTCCAGAAGTGAGCTAGCCTCTGCCACTCATTGGTTTTCAGCTGACGGTAAGCCAGGTTCCAGAGGAGTGTGCGAATGTGCCTTGTCTCCAGACTGTGGTCTTGCTTGAATGTCAGAGTAAAGCCTGCTCGTGTCTCCCTGATGCTCTCAGGATGCTCCTACATTCAAAAATAATTGTACCTGATTATTCCAGACATGCCCACATATTGCCTCATTTCAGAATGTCTGTATGTTTTAGATTAAAAATCGGTAAGGTGTAACCAAGACCATGTTTTCAATGTCATCTGTGACTGGGTCATTTTTTGCCACCCAAGATGGAGACAAATGTCTGCAATAAAAAGCTTGAGTACTATCTGTCTGAAAAGAAAGCATGAGGGATTTTGCAATCTTGTGTCTTGTGCTGCTGTTATTTGCCCACCCCAAAAGAGAATAGAGGGGATATTCTGGCAAAGAGAATGTCACAACAAACATATTGTTAATGGTCTTACTTTCAACCCACATCCCTCTTTCTTCTTTTGGATATTTGACATTCTCATATTAAAGCTTCAGTGGAACCTAGATTGAGCCCCATAGCTGGTCCCTGGATTCATCCTGTTCTCTGATGAGTCTGAGGAGAAAGACTAAGAGCCTAACTCAGGGAAAGGATAGGAAAAGGGATGGCTGAGAGAGAGATAGAGTGGATATCTTTGTGTTGTAAGCCACTGCAGTCATACTCAGCCCAACAGCACTTTGCCTAGATTGGTACATTGTTCTCTGACTTTTTCAAAGTTTCCTTTTGTCCCTTCTGCAGAATCAAGCCAAAAACATTGGAGAATTTCTCAAAGAAAAGCAGGTGTCAAGGCTTCCTAGAACTGCATGTCGTGCACATGCCAACAGGGCTCCAGATAATCCCACTACAGAAGGTTGCAAATCAGTTAAGGACTTGTGAGACAGCCCCCAAAGAGGCTTGGGATTTCCTTTCTAATCCCTCTTTTTTCTTGTATAGTGTCTCTATTTTTGTCTTTCACTTAAATAAAATCTCGGACTATTCCCCAAAGGCCTAAAAAGAGCGTACTACAGGGATACAGCYACATGGATGTTCATAGCAGCACAATTCACAATAGCTAGACTATGGAACCAACCTAGATGCCCTTCAATAGATGAATGAATTAAAAAATGTGGCATTTATACATAATGGAATATTACTCAGCACTAAAAAATAACAAAATCATGGCATTTGCAGGGAAATGGATGGCATTAGAGCAGATTATGCTAAGTGAAGCTAACCAATCCCTAAAAAACAAATTCCGAGTGTCTTCTTTGATATAAGGACGGCAACTCAAAACAGAGCAGGGAGGAAGAGCATGAGAAGAAGATTACCATTAAAC